TGGACGAAATGCACCATTACCCCCCACACCCCCAGTTTTGATCCTTTTCCTTTGTTTCCTCTCTGTAACAGGTGTTATGATCCACCCTGCTACCAAAGGCAGAAACCTAAGACTCAGCTCAGATCATTTTCTCTAGTTTACCCTACCACAACTGGCCATTAAATCTATTTCTGACCTCTGAATAATATTCTTAATCAGGCCTTTCTCTCTATGCTTTCTTCCCTGAGGTTAGCTTCAGCCTCAACCTCTTTGGTAAAAACTGTAGCCACTTCTAGATTGTCTCCTGGCTCTGGTCTTATTTCTACCCCTCTTCTGACCCCAAATCCATGTTCTATACTATTGCCAGAGAAAGTATATTAATCTGCATTCTGTTACTATAAAAAAATACTTGAGGCAGCTTGACTTTTAAAAAAAGAAGGTTCATTGAGCTCAGTTTTAGTTTTGTAAATCTAGGATCAGGCAGCTCCAATGATTAGGCCTCTAATTAGGAACTAATGGCAGATTATACAGCAAGAGATCATATCACCAGACAGAAAGCCAGAGAGTGACTAGGAGAACAGGCTTCCTCTTGTAACAGCTCATTCTCATGAGAACTCAGGGGTCCCATGAGAGCTACCTTAATTCCTTCCAAGGGCAGCACCCTCAGTGACCTAAGGACCTCCCATGAGGCCCCACCTTTTAAAGGTTCCACCACCTCTCAGCACCACACTAAGAATCTAGCCTCTAACACAAGAACCCTTGATGGACACACTCACACCATATCTGAAACAGCAGAATGTCATGTGGAATGCAATTCTGGGTAGCTACTCCCCAGCTTAATGCCAGATTCAGGGGTTCTCCTATGACCTATAAAATAAAGGGCTTCCTTGACATTTGAAACCCGTTGAACCACATTTCCTGCTTTCTCCACCTCAGCCCTCATATTCCCTTCATGGTAGGGTTCTAGAAGGTTCAACACATAGCACCCCCCTCTTCCTTGTAGAGCTCTGAATTAAGTAAGTAATAAGCCAGGGAAAGCTCACATAAAAGATCAACACGCCCCCTTTGTTACCAATGAAATAAATATTACAGGAAATGCTTCCAAGGGCGCTTCCTCAGTGTGAGCCCCAGAACAAGATAAACATGTTGTCCCTGTCAGCCGCTCACGCTCATCAGGAAGAGAGAGAGCTCAGGCAGGACACTCAGGTTATTCTTCCCTGAATTAACAATAAGAATTCACCCTCCCCCACCTGAATCATTGCCCAAGACTCAGTCATTTTAAATTTCCCTCTGAATGGGACACTTCTTGAGGGCCCAGGATGCTCCCCATTCTCTGTGCCCACAGGCTCCGTTAGAACATTTACCTTAGTACAGATAATGGCTGTTAATGTGTATATTTGTATTAGGGGAAAGCACCACGTCACTAAATCTTCTATTCTCAGTGCCCAACATGGTGACTGGCATATAGTGGGTGCTTAATAAATGTTCAGTGGACTGAGTATAGATCATCCACACTAACTTTTTCATCTGATGAACAACCTTTGAAAAGCCTGCTTTGTCAATTCAAAGAACAACCAAGAGTCAGGCAGACTTGGCTTCTAACTCCAGACCTACCCCTTATTAACTGTGTAGCCTGGCTCAAACTGCTTTGTTCTTTCCAAATCTCAGTTTTCTAATCTGTAAAATGAAGATAATATGACCTTCCTCACATATTTGTTGAAATAAGATACAATAAAATAAATTACCAGTCTCATTAGTACTTGATCCAGTGTAAACACTAAGTAAATGGTAGATGTTACTAATTTATTGTTTTCATTAGTAAATTATAGTTTATTCAAAAATGAACATTTTTTAGAAAGGATACAGCAATGAATAACAATGAATAATTCCTACCCTCAGGGAACTTAGAGTTAACAGAAATAGGTTCACCTCGGCGTCTTGCATTTCTAGACTTATACACAGGACTTTTTGTTTATATGATTCAAAGATTATCTTCACCTTCTAAGAATTCCAGGCTCTGTGGGGCACAGCTGTGTCTTTATACATTGATTTATAGGTAATCTTTATTTTGCCCATTAGTATATTGCCCACAGATAGAATTAGGTTTGGACCATAAGGCCATAGCGCCAAGTAGGAAAGCTGAAAATGTACACGACGCAGTATACATAACCCATTGCTGGCATCTCAGTGGGGATGAGCCTGAGAGAGTAAAGCTCCAGGGAGACGTAGCCCGAAGTGAGCCCCCACACACTTAAGAAAGAAAGTGACAAGAAATAAAAGACTCTTGCAAATAAATCAATATTAAGGAATTGTAACCAATAGAACCTCCTTGCAAGAAATGCTAAAAGTAAATCTTCAGAGAGAAGGAAAATGATACAGGTCAGAAACTCAGATTTACATAAAGAAAGAACATCAGATGATAAATAAGAGAAGACAAAATGAAAACTATATTTTTCTTATTAATTGACCTAACAGATAATAATTAATCACAAATGAAAACAACATATTCAGTTTTGTATGCTTAGGTATAAGTGAATATCAGTGGTACAAGGAGAAAGGAATTAGGAATACTTTGTTGTAGTATATTTGCACTATGAAGTGCTAGCAGTATTATTTGAAAAGGAACATCAGATTAGTTATCAAAGTATACTATAAACCCTAGGATAACCATGTTAGTCATCTTTCTGTTACTACAACAAATACCTGACATAATCAACTTATAAAGACAAAAGATTTATTTTGGCTCGTATTTTGGAGGTTCCAGTCTTTGGCTGTCCCTGTTGCTCTGAGCTATGATAAGGCAATAAATACTTCATGGCAAGAGTGTGTAGTGGAGCTAAACTACTCACCTCATGTCCAGGAACAAAAGAGAAAAGACAAACTCACATAAATACAATTATCTCATCCTAGATAAAGGCATCATAAACATACATTGGTGAAAGAGAGCCTCTTTGAAAAATGGTGCTAGGAAAACTGGAAATCCATATGTAACCAAATGAAATTAAACCCCTATCTTTCACCCTGCACGAAACTCAACTCAATGTGGATCAAGGACCAAGGCACTAGAACAGAGACCCTGCACCCACTAGAAGAAAAGATAGGCTCAACTCTCCATCTTGGTGGCTTAGGACCAAATTCCTCAACAAGACTCCTAAAGCACAAGAGTAAAATCAAGAATCAGTAAATGGGATGGTATCAAACTAAAAAGTTTCTTCACAGCAAAGGAAATAATCAAGAATGTGAAGAGATAGCCTACGGAATGGGAGAAAATCTTTGCCACCTGCACCTCACATACATCATTAATCTCCCCGATATATAAAGAACACAAACACAAACACACACACACACACACACACACACACAAAAAAAAAAAACAAAACAAAACAAAAAAAAACCGGAAACAAATAACCCAATCAATAAATAGGCAAAATAACTGAACTGACACTTCACAGAAGAAATACAATCAGTCAACAAATATATGAAAAAAATGTTCAACATCACTAGTAATTAGAGAAATACAAATGAAAACTACACTGAGATTTCATCTCACTCCAGTCACAATGGCAATTTTCAAGAATATAGGTAACAATAAATGTTGGCAAGGATGTGGCGGAAAAGGCACACTCATGCATTGCTGGTGGGACTGCAAATTGGAGCAACCACTCTGGAAAGCAGTATGGAGATTCCTCAGAAAACTTGGAGTGGAACCACCATTTGACTTAGTCATCCCACTCCTCAGAATATACCTGAAGAACTTAAAATCAGGATACTACAGTGACACAGCTACTTCAATGTTTATAGCAGCTCAATTCATTCACAATAGCCAAGCCATAGAACCAACCGAGCTGCCCTTCAACAGATGAATGAATAAAGAAAATATAATACATATACATAATGGAATATTAGTCATAAAGAAGAACGAAATTATAGCATTTGCCAGTAAATAGATGGAACTGAAGATAATGCTAAGTGTAATAAGCCAATTCCAAAAAACAAAAGCCTAAATGTTTTCTCTGAAATGTGGATGCTGACTCACAACAAGTGAGGAATGGGAAGAGAGAAAGGGAAGTTCACCAGATTAGACAGGTTGGAGTGGGGAAAAGGGAGTAGGGATGGGAATGGGAAAAATTGTAGAATAAATTACACATTAGTGTGGATATCAAACATTTTGTTTTATATTTTAACCCTAAAAACTCTGTTTAGATTAAAAGATGCCTTGGGACACTTTCTCTTGGACCATTATCAGTGAAACGACTATGTATTGCATGATTCCAACTATATGACATTATGGGAAAGGAAAACTATGGAGACAGTATAAAGATCAGTGGTTGCCAACTTTGGTTTGTGCATAGGGGAGTGAGGGGAGGGGTGGGGCTGTGGGGATGGGAAGGACAGTAGAATGAGACAGACATTATTACCTTATGTACATGTATGATTACACTCCTGGGGTGACTCTGCACCACGTACTGCCAGAGGAATGAGAAGTTGTGCTCCACTGTGTACAATGGGTCAAAATGCATTCTACTGTCATGAATAACCAATTAGAACTAATAATTTAAAAAACCAAGATCAGTGGTTTCCAGGTTTAGGGGAGGGGGAGGGATGAACGGCGGCAGAGCACAGGGGCTCTTTGGGGCAATGATACTGTATGATACCGCAGTGGTGGGTGCATGTCAAATATTTCTTAAGACCCACAGAATGAACAACTATTCAGAATGAAGCCAAAAGTAAACTGTGAATTTTGGATGATTGGAATGTGTCCACGGAGGTTCATTAATTGAAAAAAAAAATGCCCTACTGTGGCATGGGATGTTGATGGTGGGGGACTTTTTGCATGGAAAGGATCGGGGATACAGAGCTACTTTCTGCTCAATATCACTATGAACCTAAAGCTGCTCTGAAAGTATAAAGTTTATTAATTAAAAAATAAATAAAAGCAAGCAACCTGACTTGGATTTCCTCCGTCTCACCTTCTACAAGCTGAAACGCAGCCACACACGCAGACCATGTTGACGCACGCGGTGACATCCACCCAGTAGATGGCAGGGCAGCAAAACTCAGGAACCTGGCTCCCCAGAGAATTTCGTGGGGCTCAGCCCCCTGCTCAGTCACCACACCGGAGCACTCCTATGAGGGTGGGACATAAGAATGAGAACACACTTTTTTTTTAAACAGCAGCTAAGCTTTTACCTTACCCTAGAAAAAAATGAATGGATGGATGAATTTATACCTCACTGCAGCTCAAAATAGCATTTGAGGTGTATTACAATAGTTTGTGAGGTGTATCATAGTACAAAACCACATAAAGAAGGACCAAGGAAATAAGACTTTTTATAGTAGGAGCAGGTGATACGCAAAGCCTGTGGGGTTAGTGACGGCGTTTAAACAATGAGTATAATTCCAAAATGCTTAGAAATTAAGATATGTCTAATGAAAAGAATTATTGTTATCTTTTTCTGTGTGATTTCAGACTAGGTATTTCCTGGGATTATGTATTTATAGCCTCAGGGTCCTATAATCTCTGGGGTTGAGGCCAGGATTTTTAAGTAGCAAAATAAGTACCAACTAGGTAGTGGATCCTCAGCAGCACAGGCTGCAGCTTCTTTCCTTGGGCTGCTCCTCCTGGTCCTCTCCTGTCCCCAGGCCCCCACACTTCCCCTTGGTACTCCATCTCGTACCAGGAAATTGCAACGCTGTCACTCCTCCCTGGGAACGGCAATTCTGACTGCTGTTCCCGGGAGAGGAGAGGAGGCAATGAGGCCAACCCTTGGGAGAATAAGAATTGAAGTCTGCAAAGCTGTGAGGAAATTCTGTTCATCATGGAATTGAAACTTCTGGGCAGCGGAAGTCACTTGATCTTTTCAGTCCAATCTGGAAAAGCAACACATCTATTTAATGCTGACCTCAGATCACCTCTTCATTCAGTTACAATGGTTCCTTACCTCCCCAAAGAGATTTGCTTGCTTGGAGACAAAGCAGCCTCCAGACTGCTGGGAGCTTGGTGAGTTTTTCCCTTCACTCCACCACCTGGTTCTTCAAGCTAAAATACGAGTTACAGCCCCGAGAGGAAAGGAAGGGGCGTCAATAAGGTGGCTGCAGATGATGAAAGGGACTCTGAAAATAAGATGACATATTGTTTGCCAAGTTGCTATAATAAGACATGGGTTTTAGCACATTTGAGATCTGTTCAGAAATTTAATAAAAAGATGCTTCTAATACATGTGCATTTAAAAATTTTTGGAAAATACAGGCAGACACAGGAAAAAAAAAAAGAACATGTTACCACTCAAGACAATCCCTATTTGTATTTAGGGTTTAGTCTTCTCCGGGGTCTCTCCAGCATTCTGAGGGTGCCTTTGTCTCTGTCTCTCCCTACCTCTTTCTCTGTCTCTTGCTGTCTCTCTTGCAAAACTGGAGCGATAAGTACATAAGGTCCTGTAACTTGCTTTTTTGTTTAATCTTGTATGAGAAATACTTTTTTTTTTTTTCATTTTTAAACCCAGGCAACCACAAGAGGATGATTCAGCTAGAAACATTTCATTTAGGGCTTGTTTTCACATAGCGCCAATCCCTCCATTCACAAATGCTCATCTAGCCGCCTCTGGGCACGGGGCTCTGTGCTGAGCCCCTTATGATGAGGAGACCTGGTCTCTCCCAGCTTGGAATCCAAAGGGAGGATGGATGCCAGGGAGACGGCCTCTACAGTGTCAGTACGAGCTGGATTCGTGTTGGTTCTGACCTAGACACTGTGTGGCTACCCACCGGAAGTCCGCCGGCTGAGGCTGATTATTATTGGGTTTGCCAGTGAGACAAACACCCAGAGTCTGTACAGCCGTCGTCCTGCAGGGTGGATTATAACTAGCAAAAGGTTCTTTTCTAACCATTTCTGCCTAGTTAAGCTACAAGGGAAGTGGTAGAATGAGCTCAGTCTCCTTGATTTCTGACAGGGAGCCTGATTCTGTCCCCATCACTCATGTCCCTGTCACTCTGCCCCAACAGGAGGTGGTCCCTGTTCTTAGGACACCAGTCCAAAAGAAAGAGAGAGGAACATTTTCCACGCTGCCTATCCATAGCCCCTGGAGCAAGGGACCTGGTGGGGTGGGGGTGTACATGAAAGAGAATTCGAAGCCTCAGCCCCACAGATGGCCACCTCTGGTTGCTAGTGACTGAGAGTGAACCAGGGCCACGGGATCTTCTTATATGTGCCCTTCGCCCAGCTCCACCTTTTTCTTTCTCTAAAAGGGGCTCAGTATAGTACACGCACAACTTCAATAATCCAAATAAATCAGGCAATTTTTACTTTAAAAGAAATCTCTGAGAAGTAAAGCTTCTGGATTTCACAGAGAGATTAAACTAGAGTGTCACATTCTGGCACTTAGCTAGAAAGAGTCCTTGAGACACACCAGAGGCTGGCCTTTAATAAAATCTCCTTTGCAATTTTGTAAGATGTTCTGAATCTTTGTTTTGTCTAATGTTTTTTTCTTTGGAGGATTGATCAGGCCGAGCAGCCCACATGCTCAATATAATCAGTGTCAATCCTTCAAACTGAGTTGTGCTGCCAACTGCTCTCAAGCTTGCGGTTCACCATGGCACCTGATTCTTTTTACCTATGCACCTCGCTCTCTCCCTGCATTTGTGCAATTGAGTTACCCCACTGCATTTGTCCTAACTGAACAGCGAAGTGTTGGTTTTGGACACACCACCTCTCCAATCTAATGGATCAAGTTAACCACAAAAAACAAAAAGTCCAAATGGCAGCTGCCCTAGATTTATGGGTAAGTGGGGGTGTTATCCCTTAAAAAAATAATGAGAGCTCTTGTCCACAGGGGTTCTGTAGCCAAAGTAATAATTTCAACACTGGATATCAGCAGAAAAACTAATGAGACCATTTAAAGCCTGTTTTAATGTGGTATGTGTATAAAATTAACAACCCTTTGATAGCAGAGCCACAAATACCCCCCTGAGGTCAATCTGGAAGTCACTGGGAAGACTGCCTCTGAGGGGCCGTGGGCCAGCCATGAGCGGGAAGTCACGGAAGCCTGGGGATGACCCAGCTGCAGCTTAAAATTAATACTGTGTTCAACTAGCCCCGGTGTAAATGCCATTTCACAGGTGGCCTGGACTGTTTGCAGGAGTATGGCAGTTGGGAGCATGTGGGGCACCATCGTGGGACAATCAACACCCCCCACCCCCCACCCCCGCTATTCAGTGCCAAACAATCACAGCAAAGCCACTACCTTAATAATATTGGTAGTCCCATTTCCTGGGGCACCTTGAGATGCAGTCCTGACACCCACTGCCGAGCACTCAGTATGCGCCAAGCCCTCTCCCCTGGTCCTTCCACAATCACCCAAGGTGATCACGTGCATGGTTTCCCACTCAACAGCCCTGCAAACTGACTCTCTAAACCCGAGACTTGCACAGTCACGTGGGCAAGTGCGTGAGCTGGGGTCTTGACTTGGGTCTGTCTGATTCTCACAGCTGCCCTCTTGCTGAGAAAACGTCCTTCTTACAAAGAATCAGGGGTGGGCTTCCTTCAGAGGGGCACCTGTGTTTGGAGGTTCTCTAAGGTACTGAAACTGAGGCCCAGAAATATTCCCAGCAAACAGACTGGTATCTGTTCTTCTAATGGTCTGGCTTAGAGGCAGGAACATTGGGTGCAGAAAAGTTCACCCCGTGTCCTACCACCAGCAATGACAGAGGAGAAAAAGGAGCAGGCTCTTGTTGAAATGCAGCCAAGGAGCAGGATGAAGTCTTCCAGAAATGATTCCTCCCAACTGGACATCTGGGCATCTGCTGGTTGCCCAGGATTTTCTAGTCGGGATCAGAGAAGAGACATCGGTGACCTCATCCTGATGGCCTTGGCCTCAGCGAAGGGGAAGCAACCCAAGTCAGGCATGCACCCCACCTCACACAAGGGTGTCTAACTCTACTGCCCCTTTCTTCCCCGCTCCAGGGATCCCCAGGGAACAGCAGGGGCCGCTGAAGTGTGTTTCCTGGGGCCCCTTGAGATGCAGTCCTGACACACATACACCGCGAGTCATGTTGCCCAAGTCCCACGTGGGCGTCCTGTGCCATTGGTGAATTGAGGGCCTTTCAGACACAATCCAAAATGCAGCGAAGAAACTCATCCCTTCCCTTTCAGAAAGAAAGAAAGAAAGGAAGGAAGGAAGGAAGGAAGGAAGGAAGGAAGGAAGGAAGGAAGGAAGGAAGGAAGGAAGGAAGGAAGGAAGGCAGTTGACAAGGAAGGAAAGCCCTTGGCAAGAAGCATGACCCAACTCCCGGTCCCAGGGTAGAAGGGAGAGAGAAAGAAACAGTCAGCAACTTATGCTACTTCCTAATTTCACAAACAAGATCCCCTGGCTGACCTTTCAGACCAGCTGGGACATTATACCACACACACTGAGCATGCACACAGGGCCCTCGCTGCCTATCTCTGTCCCCTGCCTCCTCCGAAACTGCGTAGCAGCCGCAGGCTGTCTCAGCCACTCCAGAAAAGTGAGCTCGGCCTGGCTGGGAAGCACCCGGGGGCCAGGAGTAAGGAGGCAATCCCAGAATGGCCTGAGGCCTGCCCAGGAAACTGTTCAGGCACAGGAGTCCTGGTTGCTGAGGTGACAGGCCCATTCCATGCAGAGGGCAGAGAAGCAGCAGTCTCACAGCAGCTGGGGAAAGGGCTCACCATGCCAAACCCCAGGAGCTCAGGCCTCCCTCTCTTAAAAGCATTATAAAGGGGAAACAGCCCTCCAGACCACCAGACAAGCAGAATCTACCTACCCTTGGGGTCCTACTTCTTTTTCAGCCACTGGTATATATCCAGTAACAAGGTACATTTCCATCATTTCCAAATCCCAATGCCATTCAACAATCTGCACAATCAAGCCTAAATTTAGTCTCCTCGTCTCTCTCTCCCCAACCTGCAGAAACTCTCTAGGGAACCACTCACCATTCTTTGGCCTCCCATGGCTTCACTGGAGCTGTTCACTTTGCCAGGCATGCTTCCCCTCTTCACCTCCTCTTAGCCAACAAGACCCTACCCATCTTTTGGAGGCCAGCTCAGATAACTCCTCTACCACAACGGCCCTCATGATTCCAGCTGCAAGTTGTCAGTGAATTATGGGCAGTTCCCTTTATACAGCTTCTTCTACACTGTAGTATCTATCACAGAGACATACCTGGGTTTCTCTCCCTTTGCCATATAGTAGATTCTTTCTGTTTATGTCGTAGTTCTTGGGCCCTTTGTATTCTTCAGTTAGTCCAGTACAAGGTAGCTACTCCTTCCTGTTTGATCAGTCCCCACTGTTAAACAGGGTGCTTCTCTGCTGCCTCTGAATGATGACTTTCTTCTGGGTCTCATGGCCTTTGCAGATGGTGGCATATTCAGAACTACGTCACCTGGGAGGGGGTAGAGATAGGGGGTCAGGTCATGTGCAGTTTCATATAAATGTGTCCTGTGAATTGTGCTGAAGAAAGTAGAAAGTGGAAGACAAATGAAGGGGCTTTTACATAAGCCAAGAAAGATATTATACGTAACTCAAGTAGGGGAGAGGCAGAAGAACTGGAAGAACACAAAAAATACAAGTGACACTTAAAAGGGAGAAGCAATCAGACATGGGATCATGGGGATCATCTTCCACCTACCTATTATCCAGTCATTTGTAACAGAACCATGCTTGATCTACTTATGAGGAACCATCTTTACCAATTCCAGGCTAAAGGCTTGAGTGCAGCACATATCCCACCTGACCAATGAGAACACTGGATCTCCCTGTTATGATTTTTATCTGGACTGTCCCCCATAAAACTCATGTGTTGGAAGCATCATCCCCAATACAGCAAGATTCAGAAGTGGGGTTCTTAGGCAATGATTGGGATTCTGACCTCATCAGTGGATAATCCATTTGCTGGATTAATCGCCAAGTGGACTACTGGGAAGTGGGACCTAGTAGGAGAAAGTAGGCCACTGAAGGCATGCCCTAGAAGGATTTGTCTAGTCCCCAGGTTGATCTGCCCACCTACACACATGCTTCCTGGCTGTCATAGCTGAACAGTTTTCTTGTGCCAAGCCCTTCCACCATGATGCTCCACCTCACCTCAGGCCCCGAGCAATGGAGTTGGCCCATGATGGACAGAGCCTCTGAAACTGTGAGCTCCCAATAAACTTTTCCTCCTCTACATTGTTCTTGTCAGGTATTTTGGTCACAGTGATGTAAAGCTGACTAATGCATCCCCTAAGGATTGATTTGAAGTACCAAGATGTGTACTGAGCCTGGCCAATAAAAAGCTTATCTGGAATTTTGCTGGTACTATCAGGAGACAGAATCTATTTTCCTTCCCCACCCCCACCCCCGTTGTGGACAAGCTAAAAGAGCCTTTCAAGAATGAAAAAAAAAAAAGTTGAAAGTCTGAAACAAACTCCCACTAACATTTTTAAGACTTCAGACTCTACCAGGCTTAAAATCAGTAAACTTCCCAATCATGTAAACTAGTCCAGTTTCCTTTGGCTTAAATAAGCTGAGCTGTATTTCTGTAATGTTCAGCTGGGATTTCAGAGTAACTTAGGGACTGACCAAATGTGATCTGGGGATCTGGGAGGAAGATGGTTACCATGGAATCCGTTGTCCAAACACAAAAGAGAAAAGAGATAATACAAACATCAATGTTTAGAAAGCAATACACTGTAAGGGCTGAAACGTGTAGAAAATTAAACCAATATTGATAAAGCAAAGAAAGAGAAGGTGGGGGAAATGATTTAATTTTAACAAGCAGTAGAAAGTGGAATTAATTCAGTGGCTATTATACTTCTACCTTCTCTCTCAAGTGGCATCTTCAAAGTGCAGAGTACAAATACCGAAAAAGAGAAGTGAAGGCAAAGATTTGGGACAATGTGGTGAAAAAGAATTTACTTATTAAAAATCTGTCCTGGTCTCCAGGCCTACCTGAATGACATCGTCAAGCTCAGGAGGTGCTTGCAGGTATGGAATCAGCATCTCTCCAGGTAGTCTTTGAAAAATCACGACAAAGAGGGGTGATACCCAAATATAATGTTCTACTTTCAACAAGGGAAAAGGAATGACTTTTGAAAACCTCACACCAAAGATCTAGATATCAGTCCTGCTATGGCTTAAAGGTCTACCAAATATTCATGGGTTGGAAATCTAATCTCCAAATTCACATGTTAATGGTATGCCGGATGGGGCCTGTGGGAGGTAATTAGGGTTAGATGAAGTCCTGAGAATGGAAATGTTATGATGGCGTTAACGGCTTTACAAGTAGAAGAGGAGAGACCCAGGTTAGCATGCTGGCACTCTCAGCATGTGACGCCTTCTGCCCCCTCATGGAGCAATAAGAAGACCCACACCCCAGGATGCCAGCAATATCACCTTGGACTTTCTGCCTCCAGAATACTGAGCCAAATAAATTTCTATTCTTTATAAATTACCCAGTCTCAGGTATTTTTTTTACAACCACAGAAAATGGAGGAAGACAAATTCCTGGGACATTTTCTTTGAAAAGTAAGTGCAGTAGTGATGAACCCTATAAAATCAACATCATTTCCCTGGTTTTTACAATGCTCATTAGGCCTCTCACAATCCAGCACCTAACTGGACTGACTTCATCATCAGTCCTGTTTGCTTACTTCCCCACCCCAGCCTCAGCCCACCTCCCCTGGACACGCGCACGCACACACATACATATACACACACTCACTCTGCAAAAACCACACTGATCTTCATTCTGTTCCTGAATTGTCCCAAATTCATTCTTACTACAGGGATTTGTCTCACTTTTCCTGTGGCCTAGAACCTTCTTCCATCCCAGTTTTGCCTTGAAAGCTAAAAGCTACTTCTTATCTATTAATTCTCAAATTAATATGACCTTCTATAGGGACTGGGGTTGCACCGTAGTGGTAGAATGCTTGCCTAGCACGTGTGAGGCATTAGGTTCAATTCTCAGGACATAAAAAAATAAATACATAAAATAAAGATATGGCGTCCATCTACAACTAAAAAAATTTTTTTCAAAATATGACCTCTAAGAGGTCATATTTTTAATTTTTATAAAATAGTCCTCTAAAAGGACTGTTATGATTCAGCCTTGGAAAAATAAGGAAGCCTTGCAATATGTGACACCAAGAACAAAACTTGAGCTCATTATGCTGAGCGAAATCAGTCAGCCACAGAAAGACTGCACAAATCCACTGGTACGTGGCATCTAAAATAGTCAGCTCCATAGAATGAGTGGAATCGGGGTTCCCAGGGCCTGGAAGGAAGGGGAAGCAGGGAGTTACTAAACAATGGCACAAAGCTTCAGTTAGAAAGACAAGTTCTAGGGATCCATTATCCAACATTGTACCTACAATAATGTGTTGTAACCTTGAAACTTTGTTAAGAGGGTAAATTTCATGTTAAGGGTATTCACTACAATGAAGTAAAATTTATTTAAATGAAATAAAGACTTCTTATTAAAATAATTTCTGTTCTCTCTATTGCTCCATGATCTTATGGTATTCTTCATAGATCACATTCCTATCTAAAATTATATTATTGGTTTGTTTGTTTCTTTTTTTTTTAGAATTATTCTATTTCACTTAGCATGATAGTCATCAGTTCCATCCATTTACCAGCAAATGCCATAATTTCCTTCTTCTTTATGGCTGAGTAATAATCCATTTGATATATATATATATGCCACATTTTCTTTATCCATTCATAAAGTGATATTATCATTGGGTGTAATGGCACATGTCTGTAATCCCTGAAATTTGGGAAGCTGAGGCAGGAGGATTGTAAGCTTGAGGTAAGCCTCAGCAACTTAATGAGTACCCTGAGCAACTTAGTCCCTATCTCAAAACAAAAAATAAAAAAGGCTTGAGATTTAGCTCAGCGGAAAAGCGCCCCTGGGCTCAATCACCAGTACCAGAAAAAGAAAATGATGTTCTTGCTTACTTCTTGATGACCTTGTTCCACCCTCTGGAACTGTGCTGCCCCACTGAGAAGCCACTAAACACCTGTGGCTATTGAGCCCTTGATATGTGGCTAGTCCTAACTGAGATGTGCGACTGGTGAAAATGCATATAGGATTTTCAAGACTATATAATGAAAAAAAATGCAAAATGTCTCATTCATAAATATTTTGATGTATTCAGCAAAATGCAAATATAATATTAAAATTACCATTGTTCCCCTTTATATTTGGTTTCATTTTCTGGATTTCAGTTACCTGAAGTCAATTACAGTCTAAAAATATTAAATGGAAAAGTCCACAAATAAAAAGTTCAAAAGTCATAAATAACTTTTATTAGAGTAGATTATTATAATTGTCCTATTTTTATTGCTAGTTATTGTTGTTAACTTCTTACTTAAGACTATTTCATAAATTAAACTGTATCATATATATCTGTGTGTGTGTGTGTGTGTGTGTTTATAAAAATATGGAGTTTATATAGGGCTCAATACTATTCACATCCAAGGAATGTCTTAGAATGTATCCCCTGGGGTCAAGGGGGAACACTGTGTATATATTTACATTTAGAACTATGGTTAGGATTCATACTAGATATTCAATTCAAAGTTGCTGATTGAGTTAATAAAATGTCTTTAAAAATAGAGTCATTGGCTTGGATGGTCTTAGAAAAACTAATTCTTATCTTTCCTCAAGGCATACAGGAAAGCTGCCATTTGTTCAGAGCAAATTCAAAGAAAATTGAAAGGTCATGCCCATGGATGTTGATTTGTGATCATTGAGATAAACCACTTTCAGATAGGGGAAAAGCCAGTTCAAATTACTAAGTCTCCATCTTATTGGAAATGCACCACTATTCTATATAGAAGGAAGAAATAACCTGCCAAATAAACTGAGACACACCATTGATGGTCAGCTGTCATCCAGGCTCAGAGATGTTGAAATGTGAAGGAAATGTGTGTCGTAGAATGAGAATGGAAGGTGATGATCAGCCCGGATCGGTGCGGGCCATGCATATGGAGACGAGGTTTTCACCTCTCGCGTGCTCCTCATCCCTCCCTTCACTTCATCCTGGTTGGAAGAGGGTCTTTCTAAGACAGGATCCAAAGCCGAGACTGTTATCATAGTAGCTCTGAGAGGCATTAGGATTGTTCCATTCTGAAGCATCTGAAACAGGTCATTGTAGTCCTGTGACAGAAAGTGAGGAATCTCATGCATCCTTCCAGGGAAAATCCAAGACATGTCAGGCATGGAACCAAGACCTAGGGACATCAGAGAGAGAAGGGACTCCCTGAGGCCCTTCAGGGAATGAAGCAATGGAAGCTTCTGCCAGAGGAAGCAATGTCTAGGGACATGGTTTGGGCTCCTGTGTGCTTGTGGCAAAATGGTAAGAAATTGTTTTCTTGCAATAAGTTACACCTGTATCCTTCCAGAGGTTGAGTATGAACCACTTTATTTCCTACAGATTAAGAGAGATGTTGGCAAACGGGAGAAGATCTAGATCAACAACTTTTAAGCATCGTTTGCAAACCATGAGCACTACGCAGTTCTTCACCACTGGGGGCACAGCGGGCAGGGACATTAGAGCAAGAAGGCCTTGGAGCTAATCGCAGCTCCTCTTCTATCAGTTTTCTCTATTTGGCTTCCACAGAGGTTTTTCTATGAACCAGTGATGCCTGGACCATATTCAAATTGTGATACCCCCTCACTCACTCATAGGCCTATTTTCCTATCATTTGAGTTAGTCATTAGAAGTTGATAGGCTGCAGTTGGACGTAGTGGCAAATGCCCATAATCCCAGCTGCTTTGGAGCTGAGACAGGAGGATCACAAATTTGAGGTTAGCAATTTAGCAAAGCCCTGCACCACCCCTCCACACACACACAAAAATGGTTGGGAATGTAGCTCAGTGGTAGAGTGCTTGCCTAGCTTGTGCCAGACCCTGGATTCAATCTCTAGCATCATACACACTTGAGTGTGTGTGCCCCCCCCCACACACACACACTGGATAGGCTATAGTAGGAACTGACATTTAAGTCTGCGGATGTGGCTCAGGGATAGAGTGCTTGCCTAGCAAATGTGAGACAATGGGTTTGATCCTCAGCACCACATAAAAATAAAGATATAAAGGAATTGTGTCCATTTATAACTAAAATTTTTTTTAAAAAACACATTTATGACTAGATCGCACCCTCATCACTAGACAATTGTCTACTTTGAGGATTCCGTGAATTCAGAGCGGCCTAATGACTCTCCTACTCTCTGATCTCTCCCAAACATTCTGCTTCTGTGTAAGATTTAGTTTCTATCTATAGTCTACTTGGCTGGAATAATTTTGAAAACCACCAGTCTGAAACAGTGGTTTCAAAACATGGTCAACCATTGTTAGAACTTGATAACACAACACCATCGGCATGACAACACACGTTCTTGGTTCCCAGACCTGTTCTGTCAGACTCTCAATCTGTTGGCCAATGGTAAAGCTGGCCCACGGATGAGGCGACTATCACTAAAAGTTCGAGTGGTAGCTACATGGTCAGATCTCTGCAAAGTCAATGGAAGTCCCTTTATTGGGAGTTACTTTGAATTGGAAAAAAAAAAAAACCCTTTAATATTACTTCCAAAGCTATGACTAGAATTGATGTTCGAATTTTTCCATCTAATTTTCTGCCTTTGCACTCGTGGGCTCTGACAGTGGGGGTCTAGGCACTCAGTGGAGTATTAACTATCCCAGGAATATTTCTAGTACTTTAACGGGAATGAGATTTCTTCATGGTAATTATGCATTCGTTCTGATATATTTCCCAGACAGAAGAAATCAATATAACCAATTAAGGGAAGAAAAGAAACAATGACAGCATGATTCAAATTCATCTTTCAGTTGAGAAGATAATAAATTCTTACATTTGAATATGGAATACCTATTGATATATTATCAACCTGATAATGAAACTTAATTAGCAGGAGCCCACCCAGTGGGAGTCGGTGCTGTGCAGCTTCCTCCCTCTCTACTACCTTTGCTGCCTCCTCACTCAGCACCAGGGATAGAATGCATAACTCTAGGATGGAACACCTCAGTCCCTGGCCCCCTGCCTCTCCCAACTGTGGAATCTGATTACACAGCCTTAGTCTCGCCCTATTGCTGAGCCCATCCTGACCAACGTGGGCCGGCATCTCATCATTCCTCCAACAGATATTCACTCCAGCCCTTGATTTAAAAACCTGCCCTGTGTTATGTGATAGAAACGGAAATGTGAAGGAGACAGCTCTACCCCTTCAGGTAGAGGGGCAAATAGGGCATTCTAGCAATCATGATTCTATAAATCCAGTATCTAATTATGAGTTATCCTTGGCATCAATCTTTCCATAATTCCAACCACACATGCCCAAGCCATTCAATGGAACTTCTGCCTCCATTCCTCAATGGTCCCCTAGTTTCTATGCTGGGATTATAGACCTGTTTGAGCCCTATCTCCCTTTGTTGAACTCCTACTAAAAGATCCCACTTTATTTTTCAGGTGCCAAACTATATGAGGATGGAACTTTCTCATGTAAAGAGAAAAGGCTTCTTGCTTTCTCTTCCTCCATAACTTCCTTGCTGTCTCCTGTCTGATTTTGATAAAAGCGGGGTTTCCCAAACCTCACCAACATATGGGTATAGATGGAATCATAGTCACCTTGATAACATATTTTTGGCATCACTTACTGCTATCCATAGGGTTCCAACATGTGTTACAGAGTTTGAATCAGTTTCATTTTCTGTTCTATAACAAAATACCTGAGGCTGGGTACTTTATAAGGAAAAAAAGTTTGTTTAGCTCATAGTCCGAAAGCCCAAGATCAGGCACCTTCTTCTATTTGGCCTCTGATGTGGGTCCCTCTGGCTGTGATAGAGAAATGGAAAGGGAAAGGCCATGTGCAGAAAGGGACAGGTGCCTGAGGTAGCTTCATTTTATAACAACCAGCTCAAATGTGAACTAACTCCACTTCACAAGACCTCTCACCATTAACCCTTTCTGAGGGTGAGGCCCCATTGACCTAATAATAGCACCGGGGCCCACCTCTTGAAGATTCTACCACCTCAATATGAGCACACTGGGAACCAAGCCATGAACCTATGGGGGACACTCTCAAACCATGTGCAAACCAGAGCAGAGCTTTTAACATTTTCCCATACGTGCTAATAATTGCTACATCTGGAGGCGATAGAGGAAAGCGGACTCAATTCCATCCTCACAATTGCCCCTTCTATTTTCAGCAAAAGTTTTCCCCAGAAATTATATCCCATCTCATTCAAATGTATATGTCAAGATCATTGTACTGTCATGTGTAACTAATTAAAACAAATTAAAAAGTTATTTTAAAAAATAAATAAATGATATGGGCAGAGAAAGAGAGATTAAGATTGCATATATATTAAAAAAAAAAAAAAAGTTTTCCCCAGGGTCACATGCCTGCCTGTTTCCTCCTATAGGTCAGATTCTCCATCCTGACCACTCACAAACACTGCCCTGTGCTAGTTTCCAACCTGCTACATTTGCTGAGGCTCCTAGGCCCCCCTGAACATCCTCACGGCTTCAGGCTCCTCAGGACACTGACACTGCTTCAAGTCAAGTTCTGAGGGTTTGAACTTTGCCCCCACCCCCTGAAAAAAATATTGAAGCCCTAACCCTTGGTCTCTCAGAATGTGACCTTATCTGGAAATGGAGTTGTCACAAGTGTAAATGGTTAGGATGAAGTCATGCTGTGGTAGGGTGGGTGCCTCACCCAATAGAACTGGGGGTCACTATAAGAACAGGGAACCACGGACACAAATGCACAGGTGGAAGAGGACGTGAAGACACACAGGGAGAATGTCACGTGGTGACAAAGTTCTAACAGCACTCCAACTCCAGGAGCCCCTGCAACGACTGGGAGCAAGAAAACCCCAAGGCAGGATTTTCCCCTGTGGGTTTCACTGGGATCGTGGCCCTGAGAACACGTTAATTTTGGACGGCTCACTCCCAGGGCTATCAGACAAAACATTTCTGTTGTTTTAAACCACCCAGCTTGTGGCTGCAGCAGCCATATTGCCCTCCTGGCTGTCTCTCAGGGGACACTGAGGAAGGAGTGTGGAGACATAGCCCTGCCGTGCTCTGAAACTTTGCAACAGCCTGCAGTCCCTCTGACCCTACATCTATCCCCACAGCCTCCTGACCCTCACCCCTGCTCATTCCCTTTCCCATTCGATTTGACAACAGCAAAGACTTTCAGTCTTCCTGGCTCGTATCTTTCTGAGGACATCAAGTAAAGCAACTGCTTCTGTGTACAAGATTTGTTCTTAACAACCTCGGGTTGTAGGCTGCCTGGAGAAAAAAACAAAACAAAACAGATAAGGTGCCATCAATCATATTCCAAGATAATAGATGTTCACTCTCTAAAGTACATTTACTTTTCAGCTGTTAATCTACCAGTAGTGCTGATCCGTGCCTCCTTCCTCACCTTGTGAAAATAGATAAGGAGATAGACGATTGCTTCAGGACTGAACAAAATTAATTTACCTACAGGGGAAAAGGACCTAACACCACAGCTTCAGTGAACAGATTACAATGGAGTATTAAGTCCAAAAGCTCAAAAAAGTTAAAATTCTCTGTTGCAAGTTTAGAAAACATCTCAAGATGGCTTTAAAAAAAAATTATCATGAAAACAAAAATAGGGTGTGTCCAGAGGCAAGGACCAGAGGAAGGGGACCGGATGCAGAGGTGAGAAACACTGGTTTTCTTGGGGAAAATGACTGTCAGGTGCACACATTGCAGGCTCAGCCATTAACCTTCTCTCAGCCAATTCCCAAGTCCTGGGAAGGGATTCCGATTGGCCCAAAAGGTCCAGCTCTGCAACAGAGGCTACAGAGAGTGGGTTGAGGAGAGCAGCGGGCAGCAGCACAAAGCTGAAATGGAGCTGTACGTGGCAGCATCAGGGAAAATAGGCCAGCCAGGCCAACAGCACTGAAGGTCGATTCCACCACAGAGCTCTAACAAGCTCCTCTAATGAGCCACGTGGACAGGATAGTAGTGTCAAGAGGACACTGGAAACAGGCCAGGTAATCAGCTCCCCCTGTGCTCTCTGGAGGACTCCAGCATAGAATTAGGGCCCAGATCCCAGAGACCAACACCATGTTTACCTGGAATTGCCCTCTTCTGGCCGCTCTCGCCTTTGCCATCAGTTCTCTGTCAGGGACCCCTTGGTCCTTTAAATTTTAAGCAGGTTCTATTAAAGCCAAAAGGCTCAGAGCAAAAGAAAAAGGATCACGTAGAGCACGGAGAGTGGGCCCTGCAACGAGAGCTGACAGAGTGGTGTTAAAGGGAGGAAATGGTTCTTCTAACACAGAGGACCATTTCTCAAAGGAGTGGATTAATTGCCAAATGCCTCCTCTCCACTTTCTTCTAGAGAACACAGTGTTGGGTGTGAGAATGCAAGTTAATGTGTGAAATGATCTGGGTTCAAGTCCTGGCCCCGCGTTAACGTGAAGACCTGGGCAGGTGACTGGTCTCCCTGAACCACAGTTTCCCACCTGTGACAGGGCCATACAGTTACCCTCCCCACAGAGCTCTTAAGAAAAAAAATGAGATCATGCTTGACAACTGCCTGGCACGGTGTCTGCTCAGTACTGAGTGTCACAGCCATCTTTGCCATGGTATCCTGTGTCTTACCAGCTCCTCCTCCATGCTTTTCTTCTCTGGTTTCATTTTCTGAGGGTGGAGAAGACATCCCAGAACACAAATCCTCATGGTCAGGTGTCAACATGATAGAAGATGCTCCCCGACTCCATCAGGGTGAGGAGACACTGGGAATGCTGAGTGGTCCTACAGTCTGTGACTCCAGCCTCTTTGCAGCTGAGCTAGGTATGTATACAGGGCTGGGGACAAAGTTTGGGATGCTTTGGAGACAAAACAGAGGAAAGCAAAATATTATTAGCACTCTAGTAAATCAATCACAGATGGCCTTCAAAAATTAACCCAAAAGCAGAATGCTCATTTTCAGAAAATGCCTGCCTTCTTAAAATAATCTGGAAGAGTCCCAAGAACATCTCCCATGTAAGTGATCCAATATACACTGCTTCAGCTGGAGATTTGAAGACAAAAATAAAAAGAAGGAGTCTTTGTTCTTTCTGCTTTCGCTGCTCCCATTCTGACAGTCGATAGGAGAACAGCATACAACGACTCCATTGGAGATGGACCAGGGGCTTTGTCTCCCACCCTGGAAAAGGGGCCAGGCCACACAGAGCTGAGCTTCTCTGCAAGAAGGTGTACACAAGAGGACTCGTCTCGTGGGTCCAGGATGCCAGCGCCAGCCACAGGCACCTGCTCTGCCTTCCTGATCCTGCCTCCCGTAACTAGCGGCCATTTTCCACTGAAGCGTTGTTTATGGTGTAATTAATGAAAGGTAATGGCCCTTGCAGATACTTTATCAGGGAGCCCCAAATTTAAACTCAAGCTGTTGATTAAGATGGGCTCTTCTCTTCCACTCTTAATCACCCAGCTCGGTAAAACATTTTTAAAGCTCACGGGGCCTCCGAGAATATCCTGGGTTATTAATCCCAGCATCAGCACAGTCTTCTAACCAGGATTCCTACAAACACACACACACACAGAGACTCACACACAAATAGACACACAGACACACACACAGAGGTACACATAGACACAGAAACACAGACACACACATGGAGACACACACACAGACACACATACATAGGCACACACACACATAGACACACAGACATACACAGGCACACACACACACAGAGACATGCACAGACACCCACACAGACACACACACACACTGGTAAGGGAAGCTATGAATTTTCCTCTTTAGACTTATTACTGCTTTCTCTTAAAGGAAAAATCTCAGCCGAGAGATCCTGGCTGGGTAATCAGAGCCCCAAGCACTGCTTCTGCTCAGAACCTTCAATACGTGGTTAAAAATCACGGCTAATGCTTCACGGACATAAATATTTCAAAGCCACTTGCTTTCTGGCCTGCCAGATGGTTGCACTTCACACTTCCAACTGTGTCAGACTCCAAAGAACTCAGTGACTCGAATTTTGTGGTGGGGTTTATGATCCTGGAATGGGGGCTAGGGAGGCGGGTGGGTAATATTGCAAGGGTTTTTCCAAATTAAAAAAACATATTTTTTAATGGAGTGAGTCCCACCTGCTTTGCTTGAGGAGCACAGCCCAGTTCTATGAATATTGTTCACAGGTAATCCTGCAGCAGAAATTCCTATTTGCCAACATAGCAGCCACTGTTCTTCTACTTCACCCTGCCCACGCAGCTCCGCGGCCTCCAGTCCTGTGACAGTTTAGTCAGCCCTGTCTTGCCTTGCCTGTTGCAAGGAGAGACTCAAGACGGGGTCCTCACACCTAGAACCCGTCCCCGCCCACAGGTAGATTTACTCCAAGGCCCATCAGAATGGAGAGGCCGAGTCCTCTGCATCCACCTGGATGCATGATCTTCACTTCTCTTAGGTTCTTTCTGTTTTTCAGGCCTTAAGCCAAAAAGGGCATCCGGATAGTCGTAAGTGAAGTCTCTGTTGCCTCATGTTTATTAGCAGTAGTATTGCTAATATTCCAGAAGTGATTTCTAGTCTTTAAGGAAGAATTCAAAAACTAATAAAGAAGCCAAAAGTCAACACACATGTGCGTGCACACACCACTTTGAATCACACAATACTGAACAGACCTCTTCTAACCTTTCTGTGCCTATTCTTCTGGGCTTTCTCCCTGTGTAACTACATACATACAGTCAGTTCTGCATCTGTGGATTCAACCAATTATCCAAATATTTGAGGGGAAAAAAAGCCCACATCTGTACTGAGCAAGTACAGACTATTTTCTTGTCATTATTATCTACACAATACAGTATAATAACTATTTACATAGCTACTTTCATTGTTTTAGGTTTTATAAGTGATCTGGGGATGATCTAAAGCAATAGGAGAGGTTGTGGGTAGGTGGGTGAGTTCTATATAAACACTTCACCATCCTATGAGGATTTTGGTGTCCTAGAGTCAATCCATATGGAAATCAGGGGTCAGTTCTATATGTATTAATAATGCGTTTCATGACACCTGGTTTATATTATACCTACAGTCTTGATTTAGCAATATATTGTGGGCACATCTTTCCAAGACTTACAGTCCCTTCTGAACTCACGTGCAAACACACAGAGCATCGGGATGATGTGCAAATAGAAGGAACTTCTTCCCCCAAAGATGCCCACAGATGTCATGAAGTTTGGTGGCATGTGTGAGTTTAACTAACAAGAACAAGCAGATGATTTTCTTCCCTGGACTTTGTGGGTGCCTCAGTTATGAGAATCTGCTAGGAAGGGGAGACTGACAACCCCCACCACAGGCAGCATGAGAAAAGGCTGAGCTCAGGCACTGCACCTTCGTGAGAACAGGGAAGATGGATACTAATGCTCCAGGAGGGTCAATTACGGTCATGATTCCAGAGCTCAGATCCTTGTTCTTGCCTACCCTTAGATAAAGCCTGATGTTCAGCACAAAAACATAAAAACATCATAAAACTTAAAAACATCAGTGGCATTGAGGACACTGCCTCTTTCTAATTAGCATGAGAAATTTCATGTCCTTGGCAGCCTCATGGCCCCTCCATGAAAGGGGGGGGGGAGGGAATTTCAGCAGCTGGGAGCCTCCTGCAACCCCAACAACCAGGCTTTTCCCTAATCCATGGGAGTTGCCACTCTCCTTGTATTCTCTGCCAACAAGCCTGGCAAGCAAGTTGCTCTCAGAAATCACTGCCTCTACACAGACTTCTCCAGGACAACTCCCTGCCTGTCAGGCAACCTGAGCCACAGGGGTTCCCTCAATGCACCAACAAGTCCCCTAAACTCTAGTGACCTGCAGTAGCCTTGTACAGCAACTGCAATGTCCACAAGCTACACAGGCAACCTAACACAGCACACTAGCTGCTCCCCACAAGCAGGGGACACAAACAAGAGGAGCTGGACATCCTCGGCCATGCATTATTCATCCCGTGTTCATTAGTACCCGGGTACTGCAGTGAACAGGGCTCCCTCCAGTCTGCTTGCCACTGAACGGGTGACTGAGACAGCTGTCACTCCTGAGGAGGGGCTCCCGGTTAGTTTACCCTCAGGTCTTAATTTAGCCTATCTCCCTCCTCCTAATCATTCCACTTAATCCTTAGCCATCCCCAAAGCAAATCACCTTCTGCGCACACATCGCAGCCCAGGGAAGCATCTGTATGAACTCACCATCTGCAACTGCCCTGCCCAGCCGGCTCCCACCTACATACCTTCCTTTAGTTCTCTTTATCTGATTAAATTCTCCGCCCAGACTCACTGGTCCAGGGGAGAAACCTAGGATTTCATGAAGCCCTCCATTCACTCTTCTCTTTTGTGTTTTTAATCTGCCACCAAATCTGGTTTGTATAACTCTTTAGAAGTTGCTATTTTTAAAAGTTAGATGAGTCTGCCTCTTCTTCCTAAGCCCAGCTCTTTGCTGGTTTTGACCTAAATGCAGTTGATTGTGACAGATGGAGTTTATCTGTCTTGTACAGCCTCTGTTCCTTCTTTTGGTAACTCTACCAGCTTGTCTTGTCCAAAAATGTCTTTTGCCATTACATGTGATCCTAGGGAAACTATTGGTCAAGGTGTGTCCAGTGCCCACTCCACAGGGGCCTGGACAATGCTGATGCCCAACATCCTGGTCCACGGGGAGATACATTCATGCAGAGCCAATCAGAGTGCTGCTATGAAATTTAGTATAAGGATTCTGAGACACAGACTCCCTTTTACTTCTGAAGCACGAGCTATAAGGACAGAGGCGTGACATGATCTGTCTACCATGAGAGGGAATGTAAAACATAAAGGAAACAGAAAACCCTCAGTCAGGAGATGGAGAGACACCCGAGGATCTTATTCAAACTTCTGGATCCAGCTGTGCCTGAAACCTTTGCCCTCTTTTTTTTTTCATGACTTTGTCTCTGTTTCTACCTGCATCTTCATCTCTCTATCTATAAAGTTAGCTGAAGCTACTTTGAGTTGATTTTTGTGAATTTTAAGTGGTGTGTTTTGAGTGGTATACCTCTAGGTGGTTTCTGTGTTTCTGGTCTCACTCTTACTTCTTCCAATCTGTTCTCCTCAACTATACACAGTGAACTTTACAAAACACATTAAGGTGAAGGAAATACAAATATGACCATTATTTCCCTGTCTACAAAACGTCAGTGACTCAACATGATCTACGAGACGAGGCACGGATTCCTTACTGTGATAGGTTGAGCTCCCGTTGGTCTGATCGCTATTTCACCATTCTTACTTTTAACTGGTACCTCTCTTGTCCCCTTTATACTCCTAAACACATTATACTCTACACTTCAGCTTTATAAAAATACTTGCCATTTCTTTACCTCGTGATTTACACACGATTTTCCCCTGTCCTTGCTTCTCATCTGCCAGGTAAAAGTCATACCCATCCTTCACAACACAGTCAAGAGATAAAGTGGTCAAGGTGGAGTTGACTGACCTCTCTTTTAAGCCCCCCTTCATCTTGTACATACCTGTGTTATAGTCTATGCAATTGGTTATTTACATGACAATCTCCACTATAGGACTAAAAGCTTTTTTGGGAATGAGGCTCAAAGTCAACTCTGAGTTTATAGTGCTTAGCACAGTGCCAGGCATATAATAAGTATACTGTGAATGTTTGATAAGTAAATAATTTAAAAAACAAATCAAAGCCAGCTAGTGAGCATACCCTAAAGACAGCATTGTTCAGGGGGTTATATCAACAATCTCATTTAAACACACCGGGGGACAAGCAGGCCCTGATATTTTCCTGCTTATCCTTCTTTCTCCATCCCTCTCTCCATCTTGTCCCTGTGCCGTCTCCAACTGGAAGGTATTGGAGAGAAATAACCAATAAAGCAAAATTAAAGTGTACCTTCCAGATACTCAGAACACTTCCTAAAATCACTTTTCTCAGTAAGGGAAGACTGACACCGAGACAGTGTCCACTGAACCCTGGCTCCATGAAGACCAGACAGTGTCCACTGAACCCTGGCTCCATGAAGACAAGACACCTATCAAACATTCACTACGTGACTGAAAGACTGACTGTCCACCCACAGCTTGACTGTACCACTTTGTCATCACAGAACAGCCAGGTGTGGAAATGATCAACAAAGAACAGCAACAGTTTGACTGTACCAATACATCATCCAAGCCTGCCCAGACACAAAAGACTGTTTCTAAAACCTGTTGACAACAATTGATTAATGACAGGACTTTGCCATTTCTCAGGCACAGCTGAGCTGAGTACCCAGCCATGAACTGCAGCCTTATCTGCCA